TTCCTAATCTAAAAATTGACTTTGTCAACATTGTTATGGATCTTAAAAATATGTGAAGATGAACAAACTACAAAAAACATAATTACCTTTTAATTTAAATTAATAAAATAAAGACTCACTATAGCATTGCCTGTTGTCCTCAGACAACAAAAACTTTGTAAGAAAACTATAGGTAAAATTATATCTAAGAAGGTCCTTTGACTTGTATTGAATCCTCTCCTATAATAAGAGATTTAAAAGATAGGTGAACTATGACAGAAAAAAGTCTAATAAAGGCTTTTTTAGTCAATCTCACAGATCAATAACTGGGAACACACAGGAGGGACTCACAAACCACAATAGACACAATCCAGAGGGATGTTTCCATACATTGACAACAACTCTAAGAGCCCCAGGAGTTGGCCACCGAACCACTGTTCTGAGTTTGGCAAGCTCATGAAGGCTGCAGATACCACCACACATGGCTGATTAGGCAGCATCTGAGAGAACAGGATCAGAAAAAGATACAAATGGACTCAACTGCAAAGGGGATAAGAAAACATTGAAATACAATTCAGTTTTCCTCTTAGAGAGGAGAAGTAAATGAAAAGAAGCAAAAAGATGATTATAGATTTAAAATAAAAACTTTCCCAAGAACATTAGAGGAATTGAAATTACTACTCAGGAAAAGAGACCTAATGAGGGTTTATTATAGCAGCATCCTTCCAGTTGATGAATAGACTCCGATATGGGGCAGAATGACCATCTGGTCTCTATTTTTGGTAAAGCTGAGCAAGAAAGTGGGCATAATACATAACATGTAGAATTATGAGACCGTTGAACATAGATCATCACAACACTTGAAAGCTATGTGGTGCCATGGAGTTCGCCTGATGGATATTCATAGAACCTTTATTCTACTGTATTTAGCAATAAATTAAAACCACTATGACGTTGAGCAATTCATGCAATATCCCTGGACTCAGTTTCTTCTTTTATTGAGTACAAGTAATGTAAGAACCAATGAAAAATAATATCACAACTAAAAGCATGGATGTAGGATTCAAATTTTATTTCTGATGTTTAATGCTTGGATGAATTTATATAGTCCACACCTGGAATTCCTTATCCCCATGGGTTTCTTGAGAAGATTCTATAAGTTAATACATACATAGCACTTAGCACAGTGCCTGACTTGACTAGTTGGTTGTTGCTTTTGTTGCTTTTACTTCTCTGAGAAAATAACGGAAGATAATACTGGCTGAAGAGTAGAAAAGGAGTTCATATAAAGGTACCATATAATTGAAATTTTGGATTTAGACAAGTACAAGGGCAAGCTTTTAGGAACGAAACACAAAACTACAGCACAAATTCATAATGGAAATATATCCATCATCAAACAGTACTCAACATAGCTTGCAATATTGCAACTTCTGCATCAGAATTCAATTTTATTTTATTGTAAAGCCATGATCATTCCAGTAGCAAGGAAAGCTGAAAAGGCAAGTATCTAGGAGGTGGTAGTTTTGCCCAGATTTCCTCAAATGCATAAAAAGTTCAGAGGCCTGTTGGCCAAAATGAGCTCAATCTTTTTAACTTTCATGCTAAGGCTTATTGCCCAGAATGATCTACTGAGAAAGGTGGTCTGATTTTTATCAAAGTCAATAGGTGGTAGTTATAATGTCTTGAAGATGACAGCTCTAGTGCAAAGGACTTGAAATATAGGTGGCAGGAGGAATTTCCAAATACTCTTGACATGTAAACTGAGTTACTGGGTAGGCTCACTGTTCAATATTTAAAGCCACTGTATTTATAGTTAGAGTTGGATCCTGAATTTTTAATTCTCACAATTTGAAGGTTATTATCCCTCTTTATAAGTGGCTGGGGAGAGAGAAGTTTCCAAGTCTCTGATTGGAAAAGTAAAAGATCCCAGCATTTAATGAACATCTTTTGATTTAAAAAGAAAAGAAAAATAACTATATTATTTTTCTCTGAACTATTAATATATTTGAGCTGCTGGAGCAAATATATCCCATGAGAAGAACACCAGCCAGGAGGGTAAACAACAGTTATAATTGGGCTTTATCTATTTTAAACTCTGCAACTACAAAAATAGTGCCTGAAATACCAAAACCCAAAGTCCAACTGTCCTTTCTGAGTAATGGACAGCTATTCTAACTCCGTGACTATCATCCAGTGCCTGCCTTAAATTGGTCTTGACTTCAACCACTGGTACATTCCAAGCCCAGTGGGAGGTTTAGAGAGCAAATCTACCCCACAGTGTGAATGTCAGGGCATCTCTGAATGGTCAGTCATCTAATTCTTACAGCATTTTTTCCCAAATGTTTATATAAAACAAAGAAAACACAATAAGTTTGCCTAATCAATCATTTATCTCATAAACAAATGAATCCTCTAATATTCATGACACATGCAAAATAGTTTGGTATATTTTATAGCAATCAAGAAAGTTAAAGGGAAAGTAAAAGGTGAATTTTTCAATTGTATATTTATTTTACAACTCTTAAACAAAGCTTGGCAAATAAGAAGTTCTAGAATAACTATTTCACTGTTATGGGATGAAAGTTGGATTTGCTCAAGCTGAAGGATAAAAATACTGCCAAATTTGTACTAAATTCATTGCATGATCTATTGAATATTATGTATATCTAAGGTACACAAAAAAGAATGCAAGAGGGATAATCGTGACACCACAGGAGAGTTGTCTAGGGAGGAGTATGGTTGTGAAAAATTGAAATATGCATCTCTCTCTAAGCAACAGATGCAACATATGTTCTCTTCAAAATTGAGTGTGATACAGAGTGAAAATTGAATAGCATTTTGCTCGTAGCATGGATGCTGTTAAACTTTTTCATAAATAAAGAGTATTTTAATGTATATATCTGTTATAAATTTTCAGGCTCCCCTAAGTCAGGGCAGCAACATTATGACTTAGCTGAAAAAGTGTAATTCCTGGATTCAAATCCTTCTGTCTTCATCTACAATTATGTAACCTCAACAAGTTACTGTCTGGCCTCAGAGTCTTCCATAAAATGGGATGACGCAAGTTTCTAACTCATGGTTAGACCATAAGGATTAGACCACAACCCAGCACACAGTAGTTGCTATAGAACCATTTGTTAGAAAATAAATAAATAAAATCTTTAATATCTCTACAAGTATCAAATTTATAGTGTTAGGAAAGTTTTGATGAGATACAGACCACTAAGTTCTAGAGATTTGTTTTGTCTTGTTTGCTAAAACATAAAATACTTTGTTTCTCAGATTTGTCAGTAATACGAAAATTTTGCTACTGAATAATCATGTAAGAATGCAGGGTAAGAAAAAAATTACAAGAACCCTATAGCCAAAATTTAAAATATTCAATAGGATGAAAAAACCAGCTGTCAGAAGTAAGTTAAAAAAATGTTAGAACACTCAGCACACTGTTTAAAGCAACATGATATAAAATATTGGGAATGAAAAACTGATCTTGACCATGGACATCATTTAAATACTGCAATCCAAAGAGCCTTTGAACAAACTCTCATTTAAAAAAAATTAACTCAAGTTGATATGGAGATATAACAATGATACTAAAAACTATTTCACTTCGATGTTTGAACAACAAACATTTGGCACAAAAAAGTCTTTAAACAATTAATATCAATCTTTTAAGAATATACAGAGGAAATGTTTGAAATGCAGACTGAAGCTTTGAAGATTAACCCCTTCACATGATGGGTCATAACACACTGGGCACTTATCTTTTGACTCCATAGATTACTATTTGTTCCCCAACAACAAGCATTATAGCATAAAACTTCTTAAAATACTAATTGTAAAGCTAATAATTAATCCTGATATTCTGTCCCTTACATGTTTCTTTCTCCAAAAATCACAGTAAAATGTAATAACTAGCTCTTTACCTGTACCAAAGTGCAAAGTAGTTTACCTTTCCCCAGAAATGAACAAATGCAAATCAGTTAGGCTCACTCTTCACTTTGGTCTTTATCCCCTAGAAAACAAAGATAACCCTGCAGAAAACACCAGTGTTACTCCTCCCCAAAGGGAAAAAAAAAAAAAGGTACACTTGTTAGGTCAAAGAGGAAAAGAACATTTGTTAGGACAAAGGTGAAAAATAGAAGTTAACTCGGGGCCGGGGATTTAGCTCAGCGGTTCGGTGGCCCGCCTTGCAAGCACAAGGACCCAAGTTCAATCCCCGGTAAAAAAAAAAAAAAAAAAAAAATAGAAGTTAACTCTACTTGGACAGGGAACATCATTGTTCCCTACATAAAAATCCAACATTAGCAAACACCTCTTACCATTCTGTCAGTTCTAAAAACAGACTTAAAACCCTCACCAGATATTCCCCACATTAGCCGGTTCATTTCTTCACATGTGAATCTTCATATGGTTCTCTTCAGGAGCCAGCAGTGTCCGGGTTGGTTCAGGAAACAACACAATCCCAGGGAGGCAAGGAAGAAATTAAAAATTGTTGACTGTTTATCATAGCCAAGAGCCATGCATGTCTGACTTATTGTCCCCTCTAATCAACACCTTCAGAGATGCTATCATTGGCCTAAATTCCCACAACTAATAAGTAACGGAGCTAAATAGTCCAGTTGTGGAGCCACACAACCTTCAATGTTAAATCAGACTTCCAGGTTAAAATTATGATCAAGTTTGGAGAATTGATATGACAATAGATGAAAATAACACTTTAATTTGTTAATGTAGATATCATGTTAGGCATTCTAGTACAATAAAATGAAAATTTTTAATTATCACTCCTCATCTTTATACTTTACAAATTTACAAGTTTTAACAATGCTCATCTGAGCAAGTCTCTGACGTATAGAGTGTGAGTTCACAGTTTATATGGAAGACTTCACTTTCATCCAACCAGCCAACTATTAGTACTCGTCAATGAAAATGATTTTGAAAAATAAGCAAGGAAATCAAACTAAAGTTTTTATCATGTGCTTCTCTTCCTCATACACCCGACCCTGGACTTGCAGGAAAATGGACAGAGAAAATACGGCGGCCCTCCACCTGGTTGGGATGCTGCACCACCGGAGAGAGGCTGTGAAATTTTTATTGGAAAACTTCCCCGGGACCTTTTTGAGGATGAACTTATACCATTATGTGAAAAAGTGAGTCTAAATTTAATATTTAACTTTTCTTACCCCTCAAGGGAAAAGCATTTTCTGTTTACTTAGCTGTCACTCGTGTTCATCATGGTTCTCCTCCAATTGCCAAGTTAAAATGTTTCTAGCGGTGAGGACAGTCTCTTTGTTGCCTTGACTCAGCTCTTTATCCTACTGACAACTGAACTACCATTGCAAATGACGCTCAGATTTACATCTTCTTCCCCAGTTGTTTTGCCCACATGGCCATCTCCTTGTAAATTCATTGTGTCTGTCAATCTAGAATCTAAAAAATCTAAAAGTGTCTAAATAAAAAACTGCCCCAACTTGATGTTTTAATATGATTTTTTTAAGTGCAGCATTTCCATATAAAAAGAATATGTGTTTGTCATGGCTCAAACACATGCCTATATAAAGTGACTCAGAATAAACCTTTCCTCCACAAGTCTGAATTTTTTGTCTACCTTTAATGCAACAATAAGATTAAGCATATGGCTTCTCAATATTATATGACTATCAAGAAATACACTTCCTCAATTTTAATTCCAAAAGATATTTTGTCACTCAACTCAAAAATATTTATTTATTATGATTTACCAAGTTATTATTAGCAGCAAGCATGTTGCAAAAAAATTTAGTAAATACGAGAGTTTAACTCTTCTCCTAAATTCCCAATTCAGTTTTTAGTGTGCAGGTGTGTGTGTGTGTAACTCACCCTCAGAATCAGAATTGTACTTAACTTTTGGGGGGTTTTTTTGTTTGTTTTTGTTTTTGTTTTTGGTACTGGAGATTGAACTCGGGTCCTTGCGCTTGCAAGGCAGGCCACCGAACCACTGTGCTAAATCCCCAGCCCTTGAATTGTACTTAATTTTATGTCTCCAGTCCCATTCGTCATACAGGCAAACTATAATCCTGAAGAGAATTTTATATTCTTAACCTCAAATGAGTATCAAGAGACCCCCTGAACCACAGAGGAAGCGGGTTTCCCCATAAGCCCAGAAGACATAGGTGTTCACGACTGAAACCTTAAGAGCAGGGTAGCAGAAGCTCAGAAAGCTCCTAAGGGAATGGTTATGCCTAAGGACACTTCTGCCCACACATGCCTATTGTCTCTGTCTGGGCTACCCTTTTTACAGTAGCCCAGTACAGTGAACTGCTGAATCTGGATCTCTAGAGGACAGCTGAGGTGCGGGAGAGAACAGAACATGGGCAAGCAGAGGAGCTATAGCCAAGGGATAGAGTGAGTGTTCTGCTAAGGAAATGCTGGCTGTGCACCAGTCACACTGAGGTGTGCAGGCCTTTCCCTTCATCCTACAAACCAAGAAAGCAACAGCATCCCCCAGACCATCTTCTGAAACACTTGTGTTTATTCTGACGAGAAATTAGCTTAGCAAGGTTCCAGATGACAGTTCATAGCTTTTGTTTTAAACGTCAGTTACAGAGTGTGACCAAGTAAAGGTCAAATTGTGGAGACCTCAAAAGACAATTTAGAAGGCATGGATGACAAATCTATCAAGAAATCATACTTCGGATGACAAATGTGTTTTCAGTGCCCCAAGAAATTGCATAAATCTCCAGATAATTGTGTGATGAAAGGTCATTTGTTCTGTCAAAAACATTTGTTCACTGGTGCTAAAATACCACTTGTATGTGTTTTCTTTATTTAACTTGACTTTTCCATCAGTCAGATAATTGATCTGAAACCAGCATAAAAGATATGCAGGCCATTCCACATGAGATGCAAATGTCAGACAACGGCAGGAGGCACAATACAAAAACCTGTGTGTGTGTGTGTGTGTGTGTGTGTGTGTGTGTGTGTGTGTTCATGTCTGCATACATATATGTATGTTCTTTTGGAAGGACAAATATGTAAAATGAATTTTCTGTTGGTGTTTCTCATAGATTGGTAAAATTTATGAAATGAGAATGATGATGGATTTTAATGGCAACAATAGAGGCTATGCATTTGTAACTTTCTCAAATAAACTGGAAGCCAAGAATGCAATCAAGCAACTTAATAATTATGAAATCAGGTAAAAGTTCCATCTCCTATATTAAAATTGAATTAAGTAATTTACATGTCATCTTTTTGTCAAATTCAAGATATTTTCAAGATAGCCAAACAGAAATGTTAGATATTTTGCTTGGTGGAGTAAGTCAAATTAAATACCAATACTAATACCAATACTACATGAGGGGCCAGACTAAGTTTCATGAAATGTTCAAACAATCAAAATTCATTAATTTCTCCTTTTCACAAATGCATGCTGGACACAATTGAAAATGCTGAAACTATGTCAAGGTGTCCATCTTCATAGAAAACCAGCAGATAATTATAAGATAATTTAAAATAGTACGAAAATGAAACCAGAGATGGTCTAAAATTGTGTGAGGTTAGCTACTTTAATTTGGTGTCTATAAGAAAATACTCTCTGGCAAAGTCAAATTTGATCTAAGATGTTAATGAAGAGGAGATAGGAAATCAAGACATAGATCTTTTGCAAATGGGAATGGATCCAAAAGAAGGGAAGGGGACATAAAAAGAATAAAGATGTGCTATATACCAACTCCCCATAATGAATGTAGTCATTGTGTACAGCAAACGTGTACTAACAATTTTTTTAAAAGAGTCAGGTGTGACAGACCTAGGTAATATTGTTCCAGAAAAAGAAAGGCAAACAAGTACAAAGTTCCAAAAACGAGAGCAAGCTTGATATTTTCGAAGGGCAGAAAGTCCACAGAGACAGAGTTCAACAGAGTAAAGTGAGGAGGGTTGGAGGTGAAACAGCTGACTGATCCTGTACTCCATGATCAAGAATTTGAGTTTTCTTAAATTCTTTTCTTAAATTCCCCTTATGAAAAGGGGAATCATAACAGCCATCTAATTAGGTTTGGGGTTTTGAAAACATTGCTCTGGGTATTGGGTGGAGAACAGAGTATAGCAGCTGGGTGGGGATTGTAAGAGGGAAGCCACATAGCCACATGCAGAAAGTCTAGATAGAGACAAGATGACAATGAGTACACAGAGGTTCCCTGGTGGAGGTGGAAAAACGGTCTGACCTGGGATTTACTGTGCAGGTTGAAGCCACAAGACTGCTAGATAATGAATGAATGAATAAATCAATCAATCAATCATTTATTTATTTACTTATTTAAAGACAAGGTCTTGCTCTGTGGTTCAGGCAGGCCCTAAACTCAGTATGTAGCCCTGGCTGGCCTCGAATTCAAGTCTTCTGAGTGCTATGATTACAGGCATGCACCACCATGCCAAGATAGGCAATAAAGAGTGAGAGAGAATGCCGGCATGGTGGCACACACCTGTAATCCCAGCACTCTGGAGGCTGAGGCAGGAAGACCACTGTGGGTTCACGACCAGCCTGGGCTACATAGTGAGTTCCAGGTGAATCTCAACTACATAGTGAGACCTTGTCTCAAAAAGCAAACAAAAAAGAAAAGAGTGAGAGAGAATCCGGTGTGGTGACCCACACCTGTCAGTCATCCCAGCACTCAAGAAGCTGAGGCAGGAGGATCACTACGAATTCAAGGCCATGTTGGGCTACACAGTGAGTTCAAAGCCAGCCCAAACTATATAGTGTGACCCTGTCTCAAAAAAACAAAATATAAATTAGAAATAAATAAAGTATGAGAGAATTCAAAATTTAAGAAGGAAACCTAGAAGTTGGGTTCAAGTATCTGTGGATGTGATGTCATAGCCATAAGCATGGAACAGGCTGAGTAAGAAACACAGGAAGAGCTCTACTTGTGGCACTCAACACATCAGACATCCCAGGGGATTGTGGAACTGCATGACAGTAAGTTCAGGAGAGAGGCTGTGGTTGGAATAGAAATAGAGGGGGCAGGAAGTGTCCACCAAATATAGGTAACAGTGAATAACATGGGAGTACAGTAGCTTTCCAGGATATAACTGGTCTTAAGCAACCCATAACCTGTTTTCATAAAATGGGGAAAAAAAGGCTAACTTCATAAAACTGAGTTCTAAAAATTTCACTTGCACAGGAAAACTGCTACAAATCTTTTTGTAAAGGAACCCTTGGGCCATGTGGGAGGAGGATTAGTGCAGTAGTAGGGAAAAAAAAAAGACTTGGGGTCAACCAGTCTTCGCTTTGAGTGCCAGCAAGGAACAACCTCTCTGTGCCTCAATTTTCTTATCTGTAAAATAGGGATTATAAACCATTTCATAAATTTATTATGGAGATAACTGTATGAATTTTAAATGCTTAATCCAATGTCTGGAATGCAGTAATAAATGAAAAAATGATGAAAATAGCACAGTTTAGTTCTAAGATGCAATATTTCTCATGTGTTCTCTTCTGAAGTACAGATAAGCCTTAAAATTGATGGAACCTTAAACTTGATGAGTGCAAGAGTAGATTTTTCACCAGTTTTTCTCTCCTATTCCTATAGGACCCAAATAAATCATATACTGTCTTTATAGTTCTATAAATGAACCAAATACCGTACCATTTTCCTTAAACTCTTTAACCACAGGAAGATAAATCAGATGTGGCAACTACAACTGGCCTAGTCACTACAGTACTGGGATAGTCACAGTCTCAAAGTTGAACTCTGGAACAAAATCTTGAATAAACAAAGGAGCCACTCCCACATGTGCCTCCATGACCCTAAAATAGCTTTGTGTGGTGTGTGGAAGGCAGTTGGGAGTAGGAATCAAGACATCTGTGGTCTACCTCAAGTTCCCTTGGACAAATCCTTTGGCTTCTTTGATTACGTTTAACGTCAGTACCTGACCACCCAGAAATGTTCTGGGCATTCACCATATGAAATAATGAACATTAAAATGCTTTAGAAAAGGCTACACAAGGCTATATTTTAATATAGCTTTTCAATATTATAGATATATGAATTGGAAAATTCTCCTTTCCTTTGTCTTTCATGAAATGCAGACATTCTAACAGGAAGAATTATCCCCCAAACAACTTTTTTTTTCAGCTTTAATTGAGTTTATTGGTACATTTTAGGGATACAGTACAGTTACATTCATTGTTGGGATCTTGTACCTCTACATGACCAGTCTTGATTCTCATTTTTTCCCCTTACCTCTGCCCTCCCTTCACCCCCTCCTCCCCTCCCCATCTACAAACACTTTATTTTCATCTTTTCATTCTCTCACATTTTTTTCTTTTCCCTTTTTACTCTTCCCCTACCCATCCCACCTTCCTTACACTTTTAGCTCCTTTGTTCCCATTTCTAAATGTCAGTAATCTTATTAGAATCTTATGCATTGTTGCAGATTATTTACACCAGGGAAACTATTCGGTATTTACACGTGTGACTTATTTATGTCACTTAGGAGTATATCTTCAATATGTATCCATTTTCCTATGAATGAATCTATTTTCTCGTTCTTTATGGCTGAGTAATATTCCTTTTTACAGAAAACCACAACTTCTTTTGAGCTGAGTTGTATATGGAATTCACTTCAGGCCTTGAAAGAGTCTGTTCTGTTTATTTAACACATTATTAAATAGAGAAGGTATGAAAATGAATGTGATCAATCTTCCATGGTCTCTGACAATTAATAGTCTCTGTACAATTCACTGTCTTGCCTGTAAAACAGAGACAAAAATATACCTATCTCATGGAATATTCCAAAAAATAAATGAGATGATGCACATATATCTCAGCACCTGACACATATCACACTGAAACACCTGGCACAGCACTGCTAAGAGCTGTGATGTTGGTGGGCATAGACCAGGGAGAAGAGGAGGAGAGGAAATATGACAGAGAACTTGGAAAAAGAAAGTCAGTAGCCAAGACCATAGTCAAAGGTCCAACTGGATGACAGAAGCAAGGTAAAGTCACAGAGAAACTTTACAAATTAAGGAATGGGATAAGTACAGCACGGAATAGTTCAAGAGAGTCCTGGAGTCATCCTGCCAGCTAGGAAACTTCTCTTGCTGAGAAGACAATAACCTTCAATTTGCTTTCAGTCACTATTTCTCAGGGGACAGACATAGCTCTTATCCGGAAAAAACCCACAACTGTCATATCATCCTCCTGCTCCTCAAATACTCACTAAATAACATTTAAATGCCTGGCCTCTAGAGACACTAAGTGAAGCCCTCAGCTTTAGAGAGATGGCTTTCTGTCTCCAAGTAATTCTGGTAAAGAGTCCCGGCAAACCACATGAGTTTAAAAATAAGAAACAGGAATTCTCAGCTCCTCCTCCTGGTAACTGATACTAACTAGATGGTACAAATTAATAATAATAATAATAATAATAATAATAATAATAATAATAATAATAAATTTCTAAGTAAATATCTTAGAGGATAGGTTTTTATTTTTTAAAGTAAAGTTTAAAAAAACAATTGGAAGATCACTCGGTTAACCTTTGCCTCACCTAAGAAACCACCTCCCCTGGGCAAGGCCTGCCAAGCAGAGGTGGGCTTGTTGTGGTTCTGACACTTGGTCCTTGGTTCTTCAGCAAAGCAGAGAAGATGACCAGAGCAATGGCCCCATCCTGGCCAGCATATCTGTCACACACCTTGGGAGCAACTAGCTCCTAAAAGTCAGAAAAATCCCCCACTCACCTGGCTGCGCAATTTCTACCATGACAAATGAGTAGTTTCTATTAAGAACACATTTCCTATTTTAATTACTTTATTACAAAAGTCATATGTCATAATATGCAGCACATGGAAAACATCAAAAAGTACAAAGTAATAAAATTTAAAATCACTTTCCCATAATCATAGTATATAAATTTAGATAATCACTATGTAGATATTTTATTACCTTCCCAGATTTTCTCTATATTGTTTAATCAAAATGGCCTCACATCCTTACAAACTCTTTGTTTTAATGGAACTGCCTATTATGAACTGGCTTTTTAAAAACAAATAATTTTTCTTCTATATTACTTTTAACAGATTTGTTGTTGTTGTTTTGAGACCAGTTCTTGCTGTGCAGTTCAGGCTGAACCTTGAGCTCACTACACAGCCCAGGCTGGCCGCTAACTCACAACAATCCTCCTGCCTCCAGAGTGCTGATATTATAGGAATGCACCACCATGCCCTGCACTTCTACATTATTTTTAATGGCTTCTGAACATTCTGTTACGAATGCCCACCTTCTGTAGCCCATGGTTTTCAGAGAGGAGCAGTACCACGCTAAGGAATATTTAGGAAGGGGGAAGTATTTTTTGGATGACCTGTGAGATGGCTATTGAGTAGGCAAGGACCAGGGATAGTAAACATCTGTGGAGCGCACAATAAGGAAACAGCTCAGTCACAAAGCCGGTAAGAGCTCAGTGGAGAGACCTTCACTTAGGCCCTGACTGTCAACTTGTTTCCAATTTGAATGCTACTTTAATAGCGTGAATATTTTTATCTATAAAACTTCTTGTTCCTATCTATTTGCTAACATCCCTTTCCCAGAAGGAACACTATTTGGTCAAAAGTTATGAACACTCAAGATTTTTGACACATTTTGCCAAATGCACTCTAGAGTAGCTTAATCCACCTGTCCTCTTGCAAGGAAGGCAGGCTCACTTCACCTTGTGCCATGGAAGAAACAGGCTCTGCAGTCCCAGAGGGCAGTTTCGTCCCTTAGAATCTATAAAACCTGAAACAAATCACTTAATTTCTTGGAGTCTCAACTTCTTCATCTGTGAAATGAAAATAACATCTCTCCCGCCCACTCACAGGCTCCTGGTAAAGGCCAAATAATATAAGTGAATCTGTTACAGTCTAAGGGGCCATTTTCAGCAGCAATGTGTCCAAACACCCGCTCTCTTTGGCTGGAAAAGAAGTGACCCACGACAGGTTGCAAAGTCCAATGCCTTCTGGTCCTTGTAGGTAACAGGGGGAGGGAAGGAGGCCCAAGGGTAACAGCTTTAGTGTCGGGTGCATCAGGGAACAGCGAGGCTCACAGCAGTGGGTGAATCCACACCTAGTCTAATACGAGCGATGCTCCCCAGCCTCACATTATTTTTTTCCTTTAAAAATATAGAGTACACTTTAACACATCTTCTGATCTCTCAAAAGAAGCCACACTCTCCACAAATGGTTTAAATAATACAATGACCTAACACCCTCCATCTGCAGGCCCTTCCTGGCCCAACACCATACGTGCTTACTTTCTACCTTAATCCTTAACCACACGGGATCATCACTAATCAAAATGCCTGCTCTTTTGAAGAAATGGGCGTCTCTTAGGGGTCTGTGCCAGTGTGGACAACTGCCGACTGTTTGTTGGGGGAATCCCAAAAACTAAGAAGAGAGAAGAAATCTTATCAGAAATGAAAAAGGTCACTGAAGGAGTTGTCGATGTCATCGTCTACCCAAGTGCTGCAGATAAAACAAAAAACCGGGGCTTTGCGTTTGTGGAGTATGAGAGCCACCGAGCAGCTGCCATGGCCCGGAGGAAACTGCTACCAGGTGAGCAGCCCCAGGCAGAGCCCAGCCCTCCTCCCCAGGCACTGTGCTTCCAGAGAGGAAAGCAAGGCACGCCAGGTTTGATTTATGTTTGCATGTATATATATATAGTCTTTTAAACTCTTCCTCTTCCTTATTTATCTCCCAGTTGATTCAGTTCCCTGAATTTTAAAGATTGTGTTTAGAAACATATTTGTTCTATGCATTGGGGCTAATTTATATGCACTGGAAAAATCCAGACCTTTAAACTATAACAATCCTATACGGAACCCTTAATGTGAAGAATCTTCTAAAAATTAAACGTATCAATCACAGTTATTTTTGCATATAAATCATCAGCCCTATTAGAAACAGGGTGTGTTATCCATTATAGTTGGAGACATAATGAAATGCCAAGTGACACATTATCCCAATGACAATTAAGTGGTGTACTTTTATAACGACTCCCCATTGCCCAACAAATTCTGTGTAATGTGAAGGAAGAGAAGTAGAAGCTCTCCCAGGAAAGGCACCCTTGCCAGGTGCCCTGGCCACAGGGTCAGTCCCATTTAGGCAATAATCACCAATTCCTGGGTTTAAAGAACCTCACCAAGACACTGCTTCCATCAGACCAACTTAGGAAAAACTGTTTTTAAGTCCTCAGCTCACTCAAAAATATTCATTAAACCTTACACAAAATCAAGTGCTAAAGTGAACTAATAGGTAAGATAATTAAAGAAGGACAGATAAGAGAGGACCTACAGTATGAAAAATGAACCTTTCTCATAGAAATGATGGGAGAGCTACCAGAATTAGAAACAGAACCACAAACTTAAACACTCCTAAAAAAGGATAGGATGCCCTCTGGAAATTTTCAAAGTTGGAAGTTAATTTGAGCTTAGAAGGGATATTTAATAATATTTTAAGAAGTCAGGTTAAAGTAAAAAATATGTAAACATATATAAATGGAGTCCAAGAACTGCCTCATCCGTCTGTGAGGAAGATGGGTATTTTTAGTGTTGAAGATTTTCTTCACTGCTTCTTCACTCTTCTCTGGCCAGAGATAGAGTCATCAGAAGCAGACACCCGTAGGTATGGGACATCTCTAGTCTTTTGTTGACCTGGACTTTATATTTTGTCATCATCTTCAATTCTCTCTTTTCAACACCAGCCTGTCTGCCATTGGAAAATCCCTTGTATCCATCCTGTTCTCAGGCCACCATTCAAGCTTCAATGCATATGTTCTCTACCTTAGACTGTTTTTCTCGAAGTCTTCTCATCATCTTCCAGCTCTGCTCTCTTTGATCAGCCTGTCCTCGGCCTACCCCATCATGAACACTACCACCAAATAAACACTTCCAAAATATCCCATCGTCCTTTCAACGAGTTCTTGAAAAGCATAGGAATCCAATATCTATTGATAGACTAAACGGTGTCACTAACCTGCCTGTTCAAAAAATATTCACCAGCTACTTGTTCGATGTGAGATAAGGACTAAATCTCCAAACTTATTATCCAAGTTCCTTTATTTATGTACCCTAAGATTTTTGCTGCCACATTTTCAAAATTTCTCAGTAAAAAGTCTTTTCTTTCAGGACTAACTCCACAATGTCCCAGACTACATTCTCTCTCCTTTATTCCTAATGCTTTATCCTCTACCAGTTCAGCCAACATCTTGAGAAATCAGTGCTACACTAACCCACATCCATCACTTTCCTCTCTTAATTTGGGTAGGCATGCGTTTATTGTGTATAAAAGAGATATGTAGTCAGACGTGGGCACAGACATCAAATTGCAGTACTAGCAGGCTGGGGCAGTAGAATAGGCAGTTCAAGTACAACTTAGACTACATAGTGAGATCCTACCTAAAAAAAAAAAGAAAGCAAATATATAAAATGATTTTGGGGGCTAGAGAGGATGACAGTGAAAGAAGGTTCTGGGTAGGTGAATGACAGCTTTCAGGGACCAGAGAAGATCAGTGCCCTTAATGTATGGACCTCCTGAAAGCTTCCTCATCTTTTCAGAAAAAATAGCAAATTGACCAACTCAAAGAGTATCTGTCTTTGTGTGTATCTGGCTCAATAAAGCCTGAGCTTCAGAAATTCTCAAGCACTTCATTTGCTTTCACCCAAAGTCTTGATCTTTCCTTATGAATTCTTTGATCAAGATCCAGCAGCAGAGAGGCCACCTCCTCTGTCCACATCCATCACAAAGCCCTTACCAATCAGCCTGTAAGCTGTCCTCAGCTGGGTTTCACTCTTCCAGGTTTCTGTCAGGCTGCCTTATCAGCAAACTAACCAGATGGGGCGGGATGGAGGATAAGTCAGCCAGAGTAAACTTTCGCTTCTAGAAAAACCTCAGAACAAAATCTTTTACTGGTGTGGGCAATTCTATTACTCCAATGTAGACCCCATAATAACAAAGGGTTTCAGTGATTGGCAACCCTCTGAAAAAGCCTAGTTTTAAAGAATGAGAAAATACTTAAGAAACAATGATAAGCAAGGACCCTCAGTTTTTCCTTCTTAATTGATCCAGACTTGGAGACACAGAGAAAATTGCTATCTGCAGTGATATAATTGCTCCCCAGCCACTTCCTTCCCTAATAGTAGCCATTCCCTTGTCAGAACTCTTGTCTTCGTTGAGCTGAAAATGAGACAGGGTTGTCTCCAGCTCAGAGCCGTGAAAGCATTCTAAGGACAGTAACACTCAGCTTCTGGCTGCCTCAGACTCACTTGGTGTGCGCGTTAAGATTGCTGAGCCCCACCACCAGCATCCCTTCTTCAGATGGACGTTTACAGTAGGGCTGGATAATTTGCATTTATAAATTCTCCCAATGCTACTGCTCCCAGGGCCACATAGTGGTGACCAGTAATCTAAATCAACAATTGTCCCTCCAATGCTGCACATTAGAATCACCTGTGGATGTTTTCAAATAATACAAGTACCCACATCAACCTCTAGGGAATTTGCTTCTCCTCAGTGTTAAATTGAAGCATTCGTGTTTTAAATTTTCCAGATGATAGCATTGTGCACCTAAATTTCATAAGCTGCTGCTAAGTCTATCAGCTAATGGTGCTGGGTATTTGCCTCCAGGGACATAAACAAGAGCACCTGAGGAGCCATTCAACCCACAGACATTTATTAAGCACCCACAACATATAATTCTTCCCTCTAAATGACATGAGAGATTCTACAAATAAAATCTCACCACTGCATTCAGAATGCAAATTCTAATAGGAAAGATACAAATAAGAAGATAGAAATATGAAAAGAAGTGCATAATGTTGAATCATCATTTAAAAGCTAAAGCTGTGTCCTTTATCTGCTCCTTCTTCTTTTGTCTTCGCAACAATGTTTAGCACTTTCATTATCCACTTTACAGATAAGGCAACTGTTGCTTAGAAAGGATGTGTTTTTTAGCCAATATCCCTGTTTCAATCTTTGAACTTACTGACTTCAAAGTACATGTTCTTAAATTACTCTTCCACCCTGACTTCCACCACAGCGCTCCACAGGAATATTTGCAGAAATCACTGCTTTCTGTGCGTCCTCTCATTTTATGCAGATTTATGCAGATTTTGCAGCTCTTCAAGTCCATGTGTGGTTTACAAGAGTCCCAAGCTTCGAAGGCAAAAGCAAAGACAGTGAGATTCAACCTTGTTATCTGCAGCGGTATAATTGCTCCCCAGCCACTTCCTTTCCTAATAGTAGCCATTAGAATTAAAATATTAGAATTAAAAATCCTAAGGCCTAGAGCATTTGCAGCAACACTGGAAAGGACAGTCCGGGTGTCGGTGATGAGCTGGTAAAACTTGAATAACTGGCTCCCAGGGGGGAAGAAAAGCCTGGATTTGTAGCATTTACCCATTTCCACCTTATTAACTCACCTATAGTGGCTTATTTCAACCTACCAGTGTAATGCCAACTGGCTCAAGAGATTTTGAAAGTTTCTTTACCCATTTATCTGTTGATGGGCACACACACATCCGTGTCTTAGTGGCCGTGTGAAGATGTCTCTGTGACATACTAATTTGGTTTCCTTTGCTTATGTACCCAGTAGCTGGACTGCTGAATCATATGGCAGCTCAATTTTCAACGGCTCTCGCAATCTACACTCCCAACCATGTTTAAAGTTTCTCTTTTCTCCACATCCTACATTCAGTCTTTCTGATGATAGACACTCTACCCAGTATAGAGAAATGTCTCATTGTAGTTTTAGTTTACATGTCCCTTATGACTAGTGATATGAACATATTTTTCATACTGCTGTTGTACATGTTCTGAGAAATGTCTCTTTAAGTCTTTTGGCCATTTTTAATGTGGTTATTTATTTTCTCACAACTAAGCTGAGTTCCTTAAACATTTCGGATATTAGTCCTTTACCGGTATATGGTTTGCCATTATTTTCCCCTTCCTCAAGTTGTCATTTCACTCCATTAATTGTTCCCTCTGCTGCGAAGATACAACTTTGTCTCTTTGTGTGGTTGCCTTTGTATTTAGGAGTATAGCCAACAAATTATTGCACAGAACATCATCAAGAAACTTTTGCTCATATTTTCTTCTTGAAGTTTTACAGTTGTGCATCTTGACATTTAAGTTTTTAATTCACTTGAGTTGATTTTTATATGGTAGGAGAAAAAGATCCAGCTTCATGGTTCTACAAGTGGATGGGCAGTTTGCTCAGTACCATTTGTCGAAGATACTATTCTTTCTGAATTGTGTGTTCTTGGCAACTTAGTCATAGATCATAGCTACTTTTTAAGGAATAAATATATAATTTTATTTGAAAATACTTACCTCCTGCATGTAATAATTAAACAAACAAATGCTTCAAATGCTTGACAACACTGACAATTCCTAGTTTTGTCCTCTCAAGCTTTATATTATTCATGGGATATAGCTTGTTCCTAAACAATGATTTAAAAAGAAACTAGGTTTCCCATCAAATTTACAACCTACCAAGCAGAGAAAGGAGGGACCTGAGAGGCAGAGAGGAGATTTCTTGGTTGAGCCCCACCTGGGCAACTTTATTGCAACCTTGTTTCAAAATTTAAAATAATAAAGGACTCAGGATGCAGCTCAGTGTGGACATCCTGGTTTCAATCCTTAGCATTGTCACCCACCCATCCACCCCACCCCGGGGTAAAAAACCAGACTTTGAGTTGACTCCTGCCCTCTTCTCATCAGTTCAACATGAGTCTGAACCTCATAGAAGTACAGGAGCTGAGTTACAAACAACAAAGGAGAGAGAAGGTAAAGAGAAATAGATCTGGACAAATTATCCTCTCTAAAGCTCATTTTCTCTTCTATAAAGTTAGGAGTCATTGCCCATCTTTACAAGGTTACTGTGAGCAAGAACTAGGAAGGCATATTGGAAACATGGTGCAAAACACTTAAATTATTATTATAAGAATGCAAATATATAGAGAAGATTAGGAAAGACCCAGTTGGTGTGAGTGTTGACCAAGTGTGAAGAACAGAGAACAAATTAGGGTGCCGGAACTATACTTGTGTACACGTGACTTTACATGTACTGTGACTGCGTAAGAAGGTGGTGATTAAGCCCAGGACGCTCATCTGGGTGAAGAAGAAGAGGAAGAGGAAGGCATAGAGGGAAGATGGAAGGGTAAAACTAGTTTTCCGAATAATTCTTTTTTTCTCTCTCATTGAGTTTATTGGTGCATTTTAGGTATACAATACAGTTACATTCATCATTGGGATCCTGTACCTTTGCATGACAGGTCTTGGTTCTCCTTTTTTCCCCTTGTCCCTGCCCTCCCTTCACCCCCTCCTCCCCTCCCTATTTACAAATACTTTATTTCCATTTTTTCATGGTTTTTTTTTCTTTTCCCTTATTTCCTTTCCCCACCCTTCCCACTTCCCCTACACCTTTAGCCTTTTTCTTCCTATTTCACATTGTCCACTACACCATTAGGATCTTATATACCATTATAGTTTTTCACACCAGAGAAATTATTCTGTCCAAATAATTCTTTGCAGACATCTCTCTGTTGGTGCCTGGCCAGGACAGCACAGATTCCAACAGCAGCAGACATATGACCCAATGAGTTCTTGAATATTTCATGAAGTCAGACGCTATGTCTGAGCCCAAATGCACTCTATCATTCTCCCCTTAAACAACTACCTTCATCCAGTAAAAGCTGTTCTAAGAGCAATTTCTGTTCCATTTCAGACCACATACTCCTTCCCTCTATACTGAATCATTATAACAAGCCACTAGTCACCTCCTAGGCAACTCTGATATTTATCTGAATGTCTTAAGATCAATAAGAAACTCTTTAGTGGTCTTGCTCATTTACAACCTCAAGGGTCAGTTCAATTTAAAAGGTCATCAGTATGAACTGAGATGATGTTACCCTGATTTCTAAATAATTAATCATACCTGTGATCATTTGCAACAGGAAGGATTCAGTTATGGGGACATCCTATTGCAGTAGACTGGGCAGAACCAGAAGTGGAAGTTGATGAAGACACAATGTCTTCAGTGAAAATCTTGTACGTAAGAAACCTTATGCTGTCTACCTCTGAAGAGATAATTGAAAGGGAATTCAACAATATTAAACCAGGTAGGACATACATGTAAAATTACTTTTTAAAAATGTTCTTTAAAAGCACTTATACTTAAGGTGATGTTCTATAAATTTAAAGGAAAACTTTAATTTAGCTCATTTTTATAATTGAACATAGACTACTCGAATTATATCCTATCTTTGAGTTAGAAAATAGGGACGCATGGTTTCTCACCACTTAACAAATTATCTTATATTTATCTCTGTGATAATACATATTTCCTTAACTAAGCTATAAATTCCATGTGTTCTTTTCTGTTATCGCCTCAGTTCTGAGTCAGTTTGTAAACCTAAGCTATAATAAATGATCATTAAATATTTTCTGTTTTAATGACTACATGGCCATAACTACAGGTCATAACTGCAGGGTTTCTCACTCTCAGCACTACTGACATTTTGGAACACATGATTCTTGGTAGTCGGGATCTGCCCAGTAGATTGTAGGATATTCAACAGCAGCTGGCCTTTCACAGTAGATTCCGGTCGGACTCTCCAACCAGTAGTAATCTTCAAAATGTAAAAATCAAAAGTATCTACAGACATTGCCACATGTACCCTAGATGTGGGAAAAAATTGGCTCCAGTTGAGAACTACTGATCTCATGGGATATATTTGTCACTTTAGGTACACGAGTAGGGAGGAGTCTGTTCATTTAGATGATGAGAAAGGGTAAGGGATAGAGCTGCTACTCATCTTGTCAATACTTTTCAGTATCAATTCTACACTGTAATATTGATGCTCTGCTTCTTTCTTCTCCATATGGGAGAACAACACTGAGAAGGGTAAAGCATTTTACAGAACAATGCCCAAATGAGCATTTCCCCAAGCCACTTCTGAGCATCGCTTTTAGGAACACTTAGTTAATGTTACTGATAAAAGGGGATATGTGATCAAACAAGTTTAATCTCCACATTATGCATAATTAAGTGGATTTTTTATTATAGAACTTGGAGTCACTAGCCATCTTGCATGCTTTGAAATCTCTGAAAAGAGATGAAGGGTGCCTCATATCCCAGATATTTGGAGCATGTTTCCTCCTTTATGGCAGACCATCCTGTGAAATTAGTATGTATTGTGTATCATATCATATGAGCATGTATCATTTTAACATTAATTTATGTGGAAAACATTATATTGCCACTAAGACACACAAATGACAATCAGAACTGAAACTGGAGCTCAGCCAAACCCCTGCCAGAAAAAGTATGTTCTTTCCTAGCGTAGCCAGGTCCTTGGGCTTGCGAGGCAAACAGCAGCACTACTGAGCTAAATCTGTGGCCCTATAATTCTAACTGTAGTACAAAATCTGATTTCTCTAGTACGTTTTAGCAGCACCAGAATCACATAGAGGGCCTGTAACAAAACTGCTCGCCACAGTGGGCCTATGAATTTGCACTTCTATTAAGTTTCCTGATAAAGCTGGTGCTGCTTGGTCAAGGGGCTGTACTTTGAGTCCTTAATATTCTTCCAGTCCCCTGAGTTCAGAGTTCTCTCCTTTTCCAATGAATGATCCACAAATAATGACCACCAAAATTCTATAAACTCCTGTGCACTAAACAAGAAATATATTAAACATAATAAGGCTATGGTGAATACTATCATAGAGAAAGCCAACTTTTATAACACAAGCTCTTACTTTCTAATTTTTCTGGTTCATTTGTGTTTTGTTTAGTTGGAGTTTGGGGTTTTTTTATTATTTTGGTTTTGGCTTTTGGTTCTTTTGGTTTTAGATTTGCTGTTGTTTGGAGATTGTCTAGGGTATTTTTATTGGGGGATTGTTGTCTTTGTTCTGTTTGGGTTGTTGGTTTGTTTGTTTGTTAGTTTGTTTGTCTTTGGCAGTACTGGGGATTGAACCCAGGAAATACTAAGGTAAATCCCCAGCCTGTTTTTTTTTTTTTTTTGCGACTATCTCACTAAGTTTCTCAGACTAACCTAGAACTTGCTCTCTTCCTGCCTCAGCCTCCCATTACAGTATACACCACCACTCCAGCCTAATCTGTCTGTTTTATGTAGTTAAATTTTCAAACATCATGCTTTCCAAAAGCAAGTACCTCTGGACATTATTACTCAAGATGCAAAATGATTTCTAATACTTGCAAGCAGAATTTTGGAACAGCTAAATCCATTACCATCTGAATGCCACTTAACTACTGTGGATAACTGAAGTTGAAGTATGCATTGATTCATACTGTTCCCTCATTTCATGGGTATTTATTGAGTGATCCCTGTGTCCAAGGTGCTGCCTGGGAGCTGGGTGCAGATGATTTCGAGATGCTTCTGAAGCACACCCTTGTTCCCAGATACCTAACAGACGGGGTAAGGGAGTCTCATAGAGAGTGACTCTGAAACACAAACAGCAAAGAGCAGAAAGGTAGAGGTCATTCTGACAGTCCTCTTCCCACCTACTCAAACAAGCCCTGGAGCTGAGTCATAATAATCACCCCATCTTACTCTGCTAGGACCATATTGGATTATCAGTGAATGAAATGATGCATGCTCCATGCACTTAAATACCTTTAGGATAGCCAGACAACTTTGCTGTGTAACTACTGTCATCCAAAGTCAACAGTTGAATGCTAAGAGGAGAGGAAAAAAAAAGTGTCACAATATCTTTAATTAGATTTAAATAGCAGGTCTGCTGCTATTTCATAAAAAAAAAAGATAATTCACAGCCTTTGAACCACATGGTAGAGTAGAAACTGTAACTGCCTTCATGACCTTGAATATAAAAGGATTACTGAACATTGACAAGGAAAGGCAGAAAAAAGATTTTCTTCTCTTCATATTTTTCCATATCATAATGTTTCATCCCACATTGCGTCTAGGAATCAAGGGTAAAAGAAGAAAATAGCTTCTCAAGACACACACAAATAGGTGTAAACTAAAGAGGATAATTGCCATGCTGGTGATTAAACAAGTTTCCATCTTACCTTCACTCTGCAAAAAAAGTCTGTTTTGAAAAATGAGTAAGAAATAATATTTTTAAAATATAACATTGAAGCATCTTGGCACAACTACTATTTTTACTTTTACATGTTACCATCAATATGCAGAATAGTTCCTCTATCTAAAAATAGGCTAGGTTGGTTTGCATTTTACTTTTACACAACAATCTACATAAACTTGGCAAATATTTGTCAAATACCAAAGTACACCAATTAAAACATGAAGATCTTTTTTATTCTCCCCAATTTTTCTTACCATTCCCAAAAGTAACCCCTATTAATGGTTTGGTCACTATCGTTCCAGTTCTCTCTCTCCACTAGTATATATATATGGGTTGGTATTTTAAAAACATAATTCTATAATCTCATTTTCTAACTTTTAAAACTAAACAATAAGCCTTGAATCTTTCCAGCTAGAGGTTTACTTTGTTCTCTTTAAAGATTCTTTCATATCGATATAAATTTACCAGACTTAATTGATCCCATGAAAATGGACATTAAATTGCTTTACCTTTGCTATTTTAATAGTGAGTATAATTTATATCCTTATGCACAATCCTTGTGTGTATGTAAGTACTTTTGCATAAAACATCACTCCAAATAAAATTAGTACATATCTACAAATTTTCAACCTTTAGATATCATGTAGCATGGAAGAAAATCTTGGCTCTCAGAGATTCTTTCAGAAACAACTTTATTTTTTACTTACTTTTTTTATTTAGAGTATTGGATAAGACATAAGGGATCTGGTTTTGGATCCTAGCTATGTGGACTATAAATGTCACATTCAGAATTAGTTTCCTAATATTTAAGTAAAAGGAAGTGAAGAAAAATTATAGTAAATCATCGCTAAAATCTCTTCTAACTCTAAAATCCTATTATATGAGATGAAAGAGATAAGACATACTTCTGGTGAGGTACATAAAAAGGTAATTATCTAAAAATAATCTAATGAACTGGCCGGGCGTGGTCGTGCACGCCTGTAATCCCAGCACTGGAGAGGCTGAGGCAGGAGGATCTCTGTGAGTTCGAGACCAGCCTGGGCTATATAGTGAGTTCCAGGTCAGTTCCAACTATACAGTGAGACCCTGTCTCAAAAAACAAACAAACAAAAAAACCCCCCACAAAATAAATAAATAAATAAATATATAATATAATGAGATGGCCAATACTGAGTTCAACTGAATTTAACAATATTTTACCAGGCATCTAGTATTATCTTTTATATTACATAAGATGAAAAGTAAAACACTTTTCTTATACTTAAGGTTCATGTACATGTACCAGCTATGCACAATGAATATATCCATCATGTACTGCAAATATGTGTACAAATAAATAATTTTATAATGTTTAAGACTGTATAATCTGTAAAATAAAAAATATAAATTTATAATTAACTATAGGTCAGACTGTAACTTTAAAATTATAAACAGAATCTTTTGTACCATATATGGAATTTTAAACCTGGACACATGAAAATCTTGATAGGATCTTGAATTACATTTATGGAAGCTCACTGCATCATTTTCAATGCTAATTCTCAAATTTGCTAACAGCACTACTTTCACTGTGTTTACAGGTGCTGTGGAAAGAGTGAAGAAAATCCGGGACTATGCCTTTGTGCACTTCAGTAAACGAGAAGATGCAGTTGAGGCTATGAAAGCTCTAAATGGAAAGGTAATGTAGGAGAAAGAAAAAAAATGCACAGATTTTATCTATGTTTGGTGTAAATATTTTATTCATAGGAGCACTGCTGAGACCTTCACACTCCAGCTTTCCCATCTCTGACATAGTTGTCACAGTCACTTAAAATGACGAGAAACACAACGGAGAATGGAGATGCAGCTACTACGTCCAACTGTACCCTAATGTTTTCTGATTTGAACAAGTCACTGCCGCTCCATTTTCTTAGGAAGGGGTTTAAAGTAGAACATGTCAAGGTGATCTTCCTCAGCTCCAATTTTCTCTTATTTCTATACTGTGGAGTACTGTATTTAAGGGTCTATGTCAGGAAAAATGTCAAGATAGCTGTCAGTCTGCCCTCAGAATTTGATCTTCCACCTCTGGGAGGCTTAGGATCACTCAGCTCATAAGAGTAGCATCTGGAGTATTTAGAGAAAATGATATACTGTACACATCAATCTAATAAATACTGAAAATCTTATGTAGACCACCTATCTTCTGATATTGCCCAGGATACAAAAGAAATCAAAACGAAGGTGCTTATCAAAGAGCTGAAAGTCACCTAAACAAATAAGTATGCAAATAACTATGCAAAGTACAGTCAGGTATATAATAAAAAGAGATTTAAAGGTAGTAAGAAAGTTCACAAAAAGAACTAAGTTATCAAAAATCAGAAACTCTTCATGAATATGAGAAGATAACATGTAAGAGAAAGGTATTTGGTAATCGGGTGTGCTTTAAAGAGTATAATCTTAAAAGACAAAAATGAAAACCAGAATCAGTCTTAACGGCCAGAATTTGAGAACAATACAAAATTGAAGAATGGTAAAATATAGAACAACTTGTCTAAAACATAATTCACACCTAGTTGTCTTACCCATTAGCTTTGCATCCATCCAAATCCCAGCAGAAAACAGATAACAAAAGAATTAATTACAGATGTATGAGTGGGAAATATGGGGATCACAACAGATATTACAGAAACCTAGGGCTCCATGCACTCCCGGAGTCAGAGGCACAGGGGCTGGAGAATTAATAGAAATTCTAAAAGGGAAGAGATCGTGAAGGGCTAGTATTACAAAAGGAATAGTTACTTTGGGTCAGTGCCTAGGGCTGGCCTAAGGTGATCTCTTAGAGAGGGAGACCAGAGAAAAGTGCCTCAAAGTCTCTGTCATCTCTCTCTCTGCCATCCTGACAGGGTTCCTCATTGGCCAAATTCAATCATAATGCAGAAAGGCCGGAAGCCATAAAGAGGATTCCAAGTACAGTGGCTTCCCAAAAACAGAGGGCAGTCTAGAGACTGGTGAGAAGTAGATCTGAAGTGTAAAAGGAGGACCTTCCAACCCAGGTACTTCAGACACAGTGGCTTCTGGGATGTATGCACTCCTGGGAGGCCTTCAAAACCATCTGGCCCCTGGAATGAGGGAGTAGGGACCACTGACTCTGAAATACCAAAGACTAACCACAAAGCAAAATTAATTCATATTTAAGTGCATGCCTATGAAACAAAATATTATTTCTTCTTCATTGATTTTTTACATTGAATATTATAAAAATAATATTATTTTGACAATAATTTGTAAGTTAGCTCTTCTCTATTTGAAAACATCCCTGAGTGTGCAACATTACTGGGAAGACACAACCAATTCTAAATCAAAGGCTAAGTAATTAGACTGGAATAATTATAGTGGGAAAAAATTATTCCCAATTTTGGCAGCTGTATACTTTGTAGCAATGTTTGCACACATTGTGTCATTAAATATATTTAATATCAATAGTAAATATATACTAAATATTGTATATAAGTATAATGTGATATGCAAAAATAGGTTTTCTTAGGATCTGTAAAGGCTTTGATAGATTTAATAATATTATAAAAATAATATTATTTTGACAATAATTTGTAAGTTAGCTCTTCTCTATTTGAAAACATCCCTGAGTGTGCAACATTACTGGGAAGACACAACCAATTCTAAATCAAAGGCTAAGTAATTAGACTGGAATAATTATAGTGGGAAAAAATTATTCCCAATTTTGGCAGCTGTATACTTTGTAGCAATGTTTGCACACATTGTGTCATTAAATATATTTAATATCAATAGTAAATATATACTAAATATTGTATATAAGTATAATGTGATATGCAAAAATAGGTTTTCTTAGGATCTGTAAAGGCTTTGTAATAGATTTAATTACTATTAATATTTAATAGATATTTATATTTAATTTATTAGGCCATGTAAGACTTCAAATTTTTTGAGACATAATGATCTTATTTACAATTTAGGACAATTAGCCTAGTAGGGGAGTGACTTTTTATTGAGTGGGGAGAGATGTAATGAAACTAGCTATGAAGCTATTACAGTCACCATCATAAGGACTTGAATTAACATGGGAATGGAATATAAGGGAGAGATCTACACAGAACTATGGAAAAATGCATTCAAAAGGTCCAGAAACCAATTGAAGGTAGGGGTGACAAAGGAGAAATCATTATAAATTTTCCAAATGGAAGAACTGGGAAACTGATAGCAGATTCAGCAAGGGAAGCTCATTGGGAGAGAAATGTGATAAATTGAATAAGACATGATAATTCATTTGTTTTATAAATATTTGTGGATGTCTGATGTGAAAGAAATTTTTCTGGGATTTAGCTATACAGATCAATATGATAATTGTCCTATCTCTTGAAATGTTTAAACTGAATAACTAAAATACAATAGTTTGTTTAGAATTCAGTGGTAGGTGTTTGAAATTCTGTTTAAGGGGGCAGAGAAATACAAAACAAAATCTCTTATGATAAGAAATCCAACTTGCCAGAAGAATTATTCCATTCAAATCATGTCCTAACATGGAAGTAGCTATAAAGAGATCTATTTGAGCAGCTCATTTTCTAAAGACAGAACTAAAGATAGAAACTAAAGATAGAACTAAAAATAGAAAGAAGCTTATATTTAAGGCCACTTCCTTTAATATTCCAAGTCTCTTTCTTCTAATTATATCAATATTAGATTGTTGAATATTGATTGTATCCATCTTTCACTGTGTTCCCATCTACTGTATTTGACACTGGCTACTACTGCTAAAAAGTAGAGTGTCCACATGGAACTAGGGACAGATTGCTCCAGAGGCTGGCCAGAATGGCCAGGATGCCCATGAAACACTAGCTTTGTCTAGCAGACTTCAATAATCCAACAACTACTGAGTCTCTCATGAAATTGAGGGATAGGGTACACACTCAGCGGCTGTGGAAGGGAATTTTTATGGAAACGTTTTATAATATTTGCTTTTTTTTGCATAAAATACAAAGCCATTTTTTCATTCAAAGGAAACCATAAGTGCTTTCTGACAACACCTTGTCCTTTTGCTAACAAAATAAATCAATCTCTCTATTTGTTCAAAGCCATCTTTGTTTCTTGAGTAAGCAAATGGAATATGTGAGTCAATCACACAGGTAGATAAAATCATGATCTTCAACATCTGGAGTGATTTACTATTACAGAAACTTGTGTCTAACAAGAGCTACTACAAATAATTTTTGAGAATGTGCTTTCAATAGTGCATGACTTTCAATAGTGCATTCTCAGTATCACTCCTGCCCCTCTATCCCAATCCCTTGCCACCCCTGTTTATTAGCTCTCAACTTCACACCAGATCATATGATTTCTTCATTAATTTCCTCCACCTGTATTTTATTTTGCTAAGTAGTGTAAACTATATTTCTCCCATAATAAACTTATGATTTCTTTTAATTATATGTTTGTAATTTAAAACATCACATAATAGAGAATATTAGATCAATTTTTGCTTCAGTGACTGTATCTAGATTATAAATTCATAACCGATATTTTAATGGACAATATATCATTGTCAAACCTGTTGGCATCTTGTGCCACTTACCAACAAAAATCACCCAGCCAGCAGACACGCATGAACCTATAGAAACACAAGATAGGAGTAATTGAAACAATCACTAAACATACGACAAATAGTCAAACACTGTGAAGAAGAAGTGTTGTTAGGGCTCAGCCACTCTTAATAGTCCTAATATCTTTTTATGTTGCTTTTTCCTTTTTTTCCATAACAGGTGCTGGATGGTTCCCCCATTGAAGTGACCCTGGCCAAACCAGTGGACAAGGACAGTTACGTTAGGTATACCCGAGGCACAGGTGGAAGAGGAACTATGCTGCAAGGAGAATATACCTACTCTTTGGGCCATGTTTATGATCCCACCACAACTTACCTTGGAGCGCCTGTCTTCTATGCCCCCCAAGCCTATGCAGCGCTTCCTAATCTTCATTTCCAAGCCACTAAAGGACACCTGAGCAACAGGGCCATTATCAGAGCCCCTTCTGTTAGAGGTAACATCAGTCAGCTCGTGCCATAGAGTAACCCCAAGATTTCAAATGAATCATAGGGCCATGGCATTAGACAAATTGGATAGGCCTAAGGACCTGGAAGAAAAAGGCTGGAATATTGTTTTCTAAAAATCAAATATTATATCAATAGCTCTTATTCCATACTAAAAATCAAATATTATATCAATAGTTCTTATCCCATAGGAATCTTTTTTCACATTACAACTGGTTATGAAAAAAACTTGGTCAGAACTTAAGTGTGATAGAACCCAGGGCACAATCTGATGTTTGCCAAGAAGCATAACATTTGCCCAAACTAAACCTAGTGCCATGCTTATCAGCTGCTTTTTTGACATTAGACCACTACCTTGCAGTAACATGTGGCTTGCTATAAAACTTCTGAAAGGGAAATTAGTATGATCCAATGGAAATAAATTATCTCAAACAACAAAAACATGTTAAGGGATGTATGTACTTGATGGTGACTCGGTGACAGCATCTTTATACATAAACCACGAATTATCATAAATATATTAAAAATATGTGGTATATCTTCTAAAAGCCAAACCATTGAGAAAATCTATTTATTTCCATAAACTAAATAAACTAAAATAAACTCAGTCGAACCATAAATATTTCATATTTGAATCCTATAAATATTCCAAATGTTCAGTTTTCTGAGCTTAGTTCATTCAGCAATACAGGAGATAAAGCAAACTTTTTCTTTTAATTTTCAAGAGACTAGTTCGTCTCTGCCTATGGGATCCTTCAGTGTGACTATTCTAGGATATGGCTAATGCTACCAGAATGCCAATGCTCTTGTTCAAATATGACACCAATATGGGCAATATCAATAAACAAATCACGTATTCAAGTCTATTCTTGGGTGTGACTTGGAAATGAAATGGTATATCCAGATTACTGTGAAAATAATTAGCTCACTATATTTTGCTTTTTTTGTCAGAAACATGAATTGGCCATTTGGGGACCTTTATTTTTCAACAGCCTTAAAAGTTCCGACCACTAATGTAATCATGCCTGAAAAAAATTTTAATGCAAAAGAAATCATCAGGATTTCCTTCAGAATAACTTGTTTATATGGTAATAAATTGTCATTGAAATATTATACAAGAATAATCTAAAATATATAAATAACCAGTAAACACATGAAGTGGTCAACCAGTTGTGATGTAGAAAAAAAAAGGAAACAACTCTACTCTAAGGGAAAAATATGTAACATAACAAGAAAAGAATCAAAGGATAATATTTATGGATGAAGGGTAATCAATTTAATTTTTTATCACTTTATGCCATCATTAGGAAATCAAAGTAGCAACATGGCAAACAAAAATCAGAAGGAATCTAAACATGAAACTCATTGGAAATTTAAGCCTCACTTAGACAGATCAAAAGAACAAAAATAGTAAACTTAAAAACATGTTTTCTGAATGTTGGTTTTCCAATAAGCCATTGGGGATAATTGGATGACCTACAATTAATTCTAATTTACTGATCACTGGCAGTCTTTACAGAGACTGTCAGTACAAGACTTTCAGTACAAGTGGTCGTATTAGCCAGGGATCTTTTAATGAGTATATTCCCAACTTTGATTTGTCTTCAGAAAAATGTTAACAAAATGTTACCCGAAACCAGAAATTGTAAAATTTCTCTGTACCAAAATTGTTAAATTACTCACATACTTAAGATCTTGGATGGTATTGCTGTCAGGTAGTTTGAGAAAAAAAAAAAAAGAGACACATAGTGAGTCTTACCTTACACTGAGTTTCATTCCATTAGAATCCTAGAGTTTCCTACCCCTCTTCAGGGTAGCAATCAATGTGACTTGGGCTAACTTTTCCATTACAGTAAGATTTAGGGTGATTTCCTGGTGGTTTGATTCAGTTTAATGCCTTCTTACATTCCTAGAAATTTACATGAATGTACCTGTAGGGGCTGCGGGAGTGAGAGGACTGGGCGGCCGTGGCTATTTGGCATACACAGGCCTGGGCCGCGGATACCAGGTCAAAGGAGACAAGAGAGAAGAAAAACTCTATGACCTTCTACCTGGGATGGAGCTCACTCCAATGAATCCTGTCACTTTAAAACCCCAAGGAATTAAACTAGCTCCACAGGTAGGTAATGTCATGTGACAGAGTTTCTGTGAGGCTGGGCCAAAGACCATCATTCTCCTATCATTAAATTATTTGCTTGATCCTAACTTGGGCTATTTTTTCTTTTAGTAGAATTAAATAGTCAATCAACATAATATCCTTTTGGGGAATGATGGGTATTAAGTGCCGTTTTTCCATTACAGGTCCCTGTTTTTTAAAATCATAATGTTTTAAACTTTAATCTTCCACTAAATCTTTTACTAAAATGCAAAGAATCTAAGGGCCAAGACAAATTATCAGCCAATACCTCAATAAATATAAGACAAAGACCTCAGTTCAAAGTTCCAAAACCTAGCATAGTGTATGTTACATCATGAAAGCCAGCTCAGAATAGATGCCAACTGTGTGTGAGTCAGGTTGATTGGCAAAAGAAGGGTATTCATGAGTGGGAATCCTAAATAGACCATTTAGGAAACCTTTTCTTGGGGAAATGTATTTAAGAGAAAGCTCCAGCATGCTATTTGGGAGAATTATTAACCATAAGGTGCCATCAGTCATATCAAATTAAGTCTTCTACCATGGTCATATGTGGACAGTGGCATTATGGTGAATTTTTATTGCTTTCATTTAACACTTCTGGCTTTCCATGTCTGCACTAGACTATGTCTTTTATTATAGGAAAATTAAAAGTTATAAAAGTTGTCCCAGTATAGAAACTAAATACCAGAGTTAAAACTGAAGCAAAACATGATTCATGCTAATCCTTAGAATATGAGGAGTTCTCTGAGATACACCTTGGCTAAGTAGCCAGAGTTACAGTTTATGTGCTCTGAAAGGAAGCTTCTTACACGCAGACCAAAGGTTATAAGCCCAGCCAAATTATGGAAATAGCCCTTATGAGTGCAACTAAGAAGAAATTTTGGTTTTCTAAGAGCTAATCTTAGCTATTGATGTGTGTTGTGTGTTGTGGGTGGGAGAAATTAATATATTTCTTTTATGCACAAATCAATTTATCTAAGGTTTCTGCTAAGCCTATCTAGGTAACTAAAAAAAAAGAGTGCCTATCAGAGTGGTAAATAGCACTCATTTGTTTAAAATACATTTATTGGACTTTACTTACACAGAATGTATTATGCTAGGTGCTGGAACTTTAAAAATGAATATTACAAAATCTTTTCCATCAAAAGCAATCCTGGGATAATACTGACATATTAACAGATAATTAAAATGAAATCAGATAAGTCACATGATGGAACTTGCTAAGAAAATACAAAACCTACTCGTCTACTTCTCTTGGGTTAAGACCTAAAATAAAAAACTCTGTTAACCTAGTACTTTTATTAGGATAGCTAGAAATCTTTTAATTTATAGCTAAATGGATGCACATTGAGGTCATACTTTTAAGTGAAATAAATAGGACACACTTGAGTAAACACCAAATAGTTTCTCTGGTGTGAAAAACATAAAGTGTAAATAAGGTTCAAATGGTATAACTGATAATGTGAAATAGGAAGAAAACATCTAAAGGAGAAGGGGAAGTGGGAAGGGTAGAGGAAAGGAAATAAGGGAAAAGAAAAAATATGAAAAAAGGAAAAATGAAAAAGTCTTTGTGAATAGGGAAGGGTGAAGGGGGTGAAGGGAGGGCAGGGGAATGGGGAAAACATAAGAACCAAGATACATCATGTAAAGGTAGAAGATCCCAATAATCAATGTAACTGTATTGTTTACCTTAAATGTAGCAATAAACAATAGAAAAAAATTAAAAGTACTGGAGAGGGAAAATATGAAAAAAAAATTCTGTTGTTTCTAGGCCAAAAAAAAAAAAAAAAGGAAAAAAATCCCTAAAGAACCATAAATTCTACATATATTTGAGACCTACTGTGGCACAAGCAAATATCTCTGCTTTTTACATTAAACTCAGGTTAGAAATTAATGATGTTTTATATTAATCTGTGAGTAACCATCTGTGTCACCCGATGAAAGTTTTTTAATGAATTTGTCTCTGGATTTGTACAACTATGGTTGAGAAATTGAAGACAGTGCCACTCCATTCCACATAGATGGAGAAACAGCCCTGTAGCAGAGTCACAAACCTCCCACCGGAAGAGCAGATGGACAGACACTGCCCTTCAGGTCAGTGAGTGGAGTTTGCTCTTTGAGAAGATTTGCTCACCTGGAATGAGCAGGCAGGCAAACTATTCATCAGCAAAAGCTAATTTATTCTTGCTCAGGTATCATGGAAAAGGCTTTGTAGATTACAAGAAATGCTATAAGAGTATTGAGGAAATAGTGAAAGAACATAAGACCAATCTACAAATTAATAAACTGAACAATGTCATGCAGCTGGCTTCGTGTTAGAACAAATGAGGTAAGATGCTCCCCAGACCCATCCCAGGGCATTGTTCTGTCTCCCTGAGTTATTTTCTGAATTAGCCCTGTTTTGAGCAGTACACTAAATCTCCTGAGTAAAAAGAACATCTGTATCAACAAAATTGTCTTCCCAATGAAGAAAATATGAGCCTTTTGAAAAGATTCAATTTGAAGTAATTATAGAAGAAAAATGGAAAAAGATACTAAAACAGATCATCATAAAAATAACCAGAAATGGTATGTTCCCAAGCAAAAATATTGCAGCAATCAGGATTTATCTATTAATGTTCATCCACAAATATTGAACCATAAAATCTTCTAACTTTTTTAAAAATGTAAGGTTTAAGCCCTACAACAAATGACATGAAATAAAAATATATTCTTAGGTTATCACCTCTAAACCATTATAAACAGAGAGATTTGGGTAATAATAAGTAAATCTATCCAGACATGCTGGAGGATTGTTTTTTGGTTTTTTTTTTAATGGGGTAAAAACATCAAATAAATAATGAAATGAAGCTCTTAGTAAAAATCTATAGCTAATGGACTAAACTAAAAATATATTTGAGTAAATGGTGTGAAAATTATTTTATGAGCTAATAGATATAACATTTTAAATAGAGTTCAAATTCAGTTCAACTTAAATTTTATGAGTCATTAAACCATGTGGCATTTTATATCTTCTCAGATTAGTTTAAACTCTAAAGATCAGAATTTAAAACCTGAAAACTAGAGAAATAATGTCAACATGACATTTGAGGAAGAAGTAATTGCTTTACTCTTGTAGATATTAGAAGAAATTTGTCAGAAAAATAACTGGGGCCAGCCAGTGTACCAGCTACATTCTGCCATTGGACAAGACCAGAGGCAATTGTTCTTATACAAAATAACCATTCCCGCTCTGGCCAGCCAGAATCCTGCAATGTGAGTAAATCTCCAAGTTCCTAATCATTTAAATTTTAGAGTAATACTCACTTGTAAATTAAGTGTATTCTATCATTATCTAAACAATAAAAATATTCAGGTTTCTTAGCTATTTATTTGTCATTAAATACAACACTGAGATGTGCAGGTAGGATGTATGCGACACCCAGGAGACAAACATCTAAGCCCTAAATTTCAGATAGAAAATGAAGACTGTAACATAATCAACCAATAGAAAACAGTAGGTAAGATACAATGTAATAGATATAAGACTGCAGCCAGTTCCTTTATCTGCACAGTATTTAGGTTGAACCATGTGCAGCTGCCATTTTTATACATAAATTCATGCCTCCCATTTAAAATTTAGGACCAAAGATGAGACCTTGCTGTTAGTGGATATTACTTTCTGACTTTTGCCTTGAGCCTACCTTCATATATGTCTTAGGAACCACTGTATTTCATATGTACCTTAGGAAAGCCGTGCAGTAAGATACAAGTATGGCCCAGAAATGTTATCAACCACCTGTGTTCTAGGACAATGAAGGCAAGACTTTTAGAGACTGAGGGCCCAAACTGTAACCCCAAGCCCCCATATTTATTGCGAAGGGCCAACACTACCACTCAACTTCGATACTGAGGTTTTTGTTTAGAAAAAAATAACTGTTATCCGACACTTGGCTCCTGTGCCGACAGAGAGGGCTCTGTGTGCCTGCTACAGCACATACATGCCATAGGTTTGAATCCACTGTGCTATGTCAATTCATAGACGTTCTAATGCACACATGTGTGTATTTAGAAGTCTTTGATAGCACAGAGAATGGAAAATACCCATACAAAATCCCATCATACAGTCATCTCAGCGGTGTCTTAGATTTTTATTTAATTCAGGATATACTGAATTTAAAATGCCTAACCTGGCTAACTATGCTTTCCAGCCACCCTTTTACACCTCCAAAACTGAGTGCCTATGTGGATGAAGCCAAGACGTACGCAGCCGAATACACCCTGCAGACTCTGGGTCTCCCCGCTGATGGAGGGGATTCCGGGACTGTGGCTACTGCTGCCACGTCCGCTACTATTTTCCCAGGTATGGAACTACTGCTTGTGAACCTCCTCTACCTAAATCCACTTGCACCACCTGGGGACCAAAAAGAATTTGCCAGTTGAGTGGTCCATTCAAGCGTGTAGCAAAAAAATTGAGCAGGACAGCAGTAGATTTCTGTCACCTCAGCTATAAGCAGCTGCAAGATCTTGAATGAGTCAGTCGCTCTGATTCTTGGATGGTTTGGTTTTTATTAGTGGTAAGAGACTACTAATAGGTGTTTTTTATTGGAGCCCTTACAATGAGCAAGGCATTCACCCAAAAGTTTAACAAGATTTATATTTCTCAGAAATGCTTATGACACCACTAAGAGTTATATTAGATCACAATGACCATACACAGATGAAAAACTCAGATACTGGAAAGATTAAGTAATTTCACCAGCATCATCAACTTTTACAAACTCTTAAGTTCCCTCCCCTTTTTCAATTTTCAATCTACTTTTATTAATTTGCTTTCTGATAAAGATGTGATGAGCTTGTGATAATTATTTTTAATGAAAAATTATGTGTGCGAGTGACAGATTTTTTTCAATATGTGAGTAGCCCTCAATTTATCTTTTCTCTCATTTATCCCAGGGCATACACTGATTGCTTAATGTAAAGTCTATTTAAAAGATTTCCTCATTTATTATGTACTCACCACAAATGCTAATCATTGAAAAGATCCTCTAGAGATTAAGGCAGTCAGAGTGGCTCTTTTCCCTTTTGTAATAAAATTTAATTTCTTTCAGAGAAATTTGTCATTCTGGCTTGTCATTGTGTCGGTATGCCCTCCACATGCCCAAATTAGCGAGTTTTCACTAGACCTAGAATTAAGACACTCCTATTAAGTTATATATATCATGCAACATGTAGGTGTGAGAATTCTATATTCTTCACATTTATTCCTGACATCCAAAACACTTGAGGCTCATTCTCATTTTCTTTTATCTCTCCAAAATTGTGAATATACCTTTCATTCTGGTAAAGGAGGCTAAAATCAATCATGCTTCACACACAAATATGGCCTCAATTCTAGCATTGTTTCTTGTAAACCATGGATCTGTAAAGAGCAAGGCCCACCAAGGATGGGCACCGTGAGCCATCAGCCTCTGTGCACACGAGGTGTTTCCATGTCCATCTACTGCAGACTTATATATGTCAAAGTTACTCGGGTCCTGGAGAAACGAGAGACTCTGCCTCACAGAAAGCTGCATCCCAGAGACACTAACTAATGTACTATAAAAATAAATGAGCCCCTGTCAAGAAAATTTTAAACTTTATTTTCATATTCAAAGGGATATGTTTTTACTCAAAATTTTAAACTTTATCTTCCTTTCTATTTGCTCCGACAAGAAGTTAAAATATTTAGGGTATGAGAGGTGTCCAGGGAATGAATGGCTAAGAATATGAGCCTCTCATAACTTTCTGTAGACTCAAGCAAAATATAATATACACCAAGGGAAAACTGATACAAAAATACCCTTACACTTAACAAATTAACCAAACTGAAAAATAAAACCCCAAAACTCTACAGATAAAATCTGTGCTGTACACACACACAGCCACATGTTTATATTACTTAATTTAGAAACACCATTTCCAAAGTTATGAAAGTAATTGTTAACACATTTCTCATATCCTCAGGAAATATACCAAACTTTACTTATGTGTTAGTCAACACTATTGACCAACATGAACAACCAAGGTGTAGGTTCAATTTTTAAAAAACAGTCCAGCTAGCTTCCTGTGGCCACTTTCTGAGAAGCCATGAGAAAATAAATCAATGTTCTGAGGTTGGGCCGACTTTGACGACAAGCAGATCAATGGGATTCTTTTAAACAAATCCCATCCTCCCTCGTGGCTGAAGGATACCTCTCCCTTTTACATATTATCTTTCACAATCTTTGAATCATCTCAGAAATACCCAGGTTTTGGTCTAAAACATTAACAAAGATATATGGTTGTTGATAGTAACTATTATGCTTTCTTCTTCATAAGTGAATGTCCAGCAGCAAGACATAATACTAAGAAAGTGTACGGGTGATTTCACTGCTGTTAAAACACTGGCTCTCTGTGAGAACCAGTACTAAAGCCTCTGAATATATCATGGATAGGCTTTATGGTAAACTGAGAAAAAGGAGCTTTTGCCATTCATGCTTAATCTAAATCTTGACAGGGCAGGCATTTGCTTTGATGGCACTATATAGAAACACTCTAAAGCTTTACAGTATTTCCCCTCTGCTTTACCAGGTCTCTACACAACCTTCTTGGGTAAAGGTAATGGATTTTAATGTTTCTTTTAGGCAGGTAGGGGTTTTAAGGAGGTGTAGGTTTGTAGTAGAACCCAACCCATAGCCCCTCCAGCCCCAGGCCCTGCTAAACCCTCGATGGCCTTTTCTTCTTTATAAATTCTGAGATCCTCTGGAAATATTCAGAATTGCAGTTTTTTTTCACCTCAGCATCCAGGTACATTTTAGTTTCTTGGACCTTGTCCCAGTGCCTCTAATCTATGCGTGACGATGATTCTGAAATGAGTAACACAAGTTTCACTTTCAGGATCACTCTCCTAGAATTTTCAGGTGCCGTTTAAAAATCAACGAGTCCTCTTCTTGTGTCCCTGGGGGATTTGCTTTTAGCTCCAAGTAATATATTAAAATTTCATACTCCTAAAAGTACTCAATATGCCAAATGGAAGCAAACTTGAATTCCTTGCATGAAGTTTTCTCTGCCTCCTCCTCCAGGATATGCTTTCCCCAGTGCCACTGCACCCGTCTCTGCAGCTCAGCTCAAGCAAACAGTGACCCTTGGACAAGACTTAGCGGCATATGCAACCTATGAGGTCTACCCCACGTTTGCTGTGACTGCCCGAGGGGATGGATATGCACCCTTCTGAAGATGCCTGACTTTTAATTTAGGGATAAGATACACAAAGCTCTATTATAGAAGAAATAGACCTTTCAGTCCCCCAATGACGTAAACCACGCCTTCTCGAAAGCAGTGCTTTTCCTGAGACTGTGTAACTTATACCATTGTAGAGTCCTGAAATGTGAATGCTATTCCTCAGTGAAATCAAATATTAAGGAGACTTTCATTTAACAGAAAGGCAAAGAGCCATTAGCCCCAAAAGTTGTTTTTCCAAGTTTCCTGAGTATCCTGGGAGTATGTTTACAGTCCCTGACAGAGCAGGAAGAGATCTCAGCAAGCCAGAGCTGGAGCTGAGCAAACCTGAGGCATCAGTTACAAGGGAGCCAGTTAAACTTCAGAGTTTCAATCCTGTGTCAGCGTTGCTGTGTGGCGTACGAAGTCAAGAAGCAGCAAAAGGAAGGTGTGAAATCGCCTTGCAAAATGCCTTTACTATGTGGAGCATTATCTCACGCTTGAACTCATGAAAATTGTCCAATATTTTATGGATTCAGCACCACTTCAGCCTGAAAATTCTACCCGATTCGTCATACATCAGGATCTTCCTAGCCCACGCATTTCCTTGGGGTTTCCTAGAAATTGGTATGTATTGCAGCTGTGGTTGAAACAGTTCTGGACTCCTTGTTTATCCAACTCATTAACCCATACTTATTTTTCCCTAAAACTACTATCCTGTCCCAGCATACCCATAATACAAAACCCATGCCAACATGAAATGACTTTTCATCATTTTAAGGATTTTGAATTATCCGTACTGATTTACTTTTATCTCAGACTCATTTTGCTTGTCTCTAATATAAAAAAGTAAATCAGACCTATAGAACAACACATATGATACGTTTTCCTATTCAGCAAGTTGGCAAAAAATTCATTTAAAAGAGAGTAATGAAGTTCTGTTTTCATTTATTGTTTTGTTTTGTTTTTTATTTCTCTGATGCTGGGGACCAACCCAGGGTCTCATGCATACTATACAAGCACTCGATCCCTGAATCATACCTGCAGTCCTGCATTCATTACTTTGATCTTTTTGCAGTACCCAGACTACCATCTAGCATTCAAAGAAAAGTTGTATTAACTTGAGGCTAGTCTTGAGTTATCTAATCCACTTATATTAAAGCTGCCAAGAATTCCTTTACCTTCTGTTCCTTTAAATTTTAATAAGTATAGGCAGCTTTAATCCATTTGTCTTGAAAGCATCACAGGAAAAGCTTACATCCATCACTGGCGATTAGAGACCATTCCTTTGTTCAAGAATGTTATTTGCCAAAGTCCCCTAAAGTTGAGGAGCTCTTCCCTGGGAACAACTGATGGAGGTGGGTCAGAAGAGGATGCCACTCAAGACTGGAGTTAAAAAGGAAGCTCTATTTTTCTGCAGTATTTGTAAGTGACTGCTTTGTTCAAAACAAAAATAATCAAAGTCCAATACCAAAACCCATTGTTACCATTCCATACTCATTAGGATTTAAGACATACAGCACTAGAATTTCCATTTTAAAAAATCCATTGGCCCTTGTAAAATTCTATAGAATACAAGGGAAAATATAAGCATACACAGAGCAGAAAACTTTATCAACTCCTTAATAGAATTCTGTGATCCAGAATCAGGTCAGAGTCCAATCAGAGTCAGGGAAGCCTCAGTCGCAATGAGAAGTCCTTGTAACCTTTCAGTTCTATTAAATCCAATCAGACACAAACTTCAAAGCTGAAATTCTAAAAGGCTCTGGGCTTTTCTGTTTCACATTTAGTTCCTCATAGTCCCAAGGATCATAGTTCCCAAACTTGGCTACACATTTGAAACACCTAGAGAGCTTATAAATATGCTACTGCCAAGACTACACCTTCTTCCTATTACATCAGAAGGTCTTGGAGTGGGGGAGCCTGCCATCAATATTTTTTAGATTCCTCAGTAGTTTCAGTGTATGTCTGTTTGCATTCTTTAAATTTCTTCCCTCTTTTTATTTTCTTTTAATTTTACTTTTATTAAATAGAAAAATGCAAATAAAAACCATTTAAATTAAAATAAATAGCCAGATTATTTACACACACACACACGCGCACACACATATGAATGAGATCTGGTTACATATATGTACATATCTCCTCATAAATATTATGAATGTGAATATAATACAAATTACAAAAAGGAGAAAATACAGCCTTCCTCCTAAAGCAATACTTATATCCAATTTTACACCCCACAGACCTAGTTTTCTCAAAGAGAATAATTATATTGACATTGAAAATGACCTTTAGGGAAGACAAAGTTCTGCTCAGTCTAAAGGGCACCTCAAATTCCAAGAGTGAAAGGTTTTTTGGCCCTTTTTTGTTTTGTTTTTTTGAGACAGGGTCTCATTATTCAGCCCAGGCTAGGCTCAGACTTATAATGTAGCCCGGGCTACATAAACCAGATCTCTTCCTGCCTCAGCCTTCCAAGGGTTGGAATTACAGGTGTGCACCATGACACCCAGAAAGAGTAATGGTTTGGATTTCCTGTAGGGTCTTTGAAAACAAAGAGCAAAGGTTAGTACTTCTGTTTAATCAATATGAAATAGAAGTAACCCAGAGAAGTTTTTAATTTATTCAAAATGAAAAAAAAATATTTAATCCAGAAATCTCATGAGAAAAATTATTACTCTGGATAAGGTCATCATTTTTTTTTTAAATTAAGAGCAGAGATCTGAACACAAAAAAAACTAAAAATGTCAAGAAAATTACCACTGGAACTCCCTATCATTACTTTAGGAAAAACAGCTCTTCATGACATTTTCCTCTTTAGGAACTGATTTTTTTACAAATGAGTAAATGCAGCTTTGTTTTTTGCTGAGATTGTACTTAATTTTGATAATATTTAGAGAAGATTTTGGATTCTATTAGAAAAGATTCATGGAAAGTGCCAATATGTCTGCCATGCCAATGTGCTGGTTTAGTTTCCTCAAGTTAAGAAGTCTAGAGGAAGCCCTGCTATGGTGAGTTTGAAATTCTGAAGCTTTTTAAAATCAAGTTCAGAACCACAAGTTAATTTTGCATAACATTTATATTTTTAGACTTAAGAAATTAGTACCTATGTAACACCTTCATATTTTCTTCTCTTTTCTTACTTAACTACTTCCTAATTCTTTATTTAAAAAATTAGTCAGCCAACCAAGTGAAAATAACAAAATATCCAAACCAATAATTTAGAAATCACTATTAAATCAAAATTGTGTTTCTAAATTTGGGCTCTTAATAGTTTATTGATGATTAAAATTAGCCCAATGTTACTTAGATGGGAGGATATAGAACAGTACATTGTGTCTTTTTCTTGCTGATAAAAGTCCTGCTTCTTTTCAAATTACTGCACTTCTCTCCCACTTCCTTAGTATAACAAGACCAAGAAAAAGAAAACCCAACTGTAATGAAGTAAAGTCCTCCTAGATGCCAAACCGTACTGGGTTAGGTAACAGCACCAACAATTCTGCTGGAAAATTACCTCATATTTAGAAAATATCGACTTAAAAAATATCTAACAAAAGAAGAGGTATTTCCAAAGCATAGTCCTTCACTTTTTAAAGGTGGAATACAAATCAAACTATAGCTATGGATTGATAATACCTGTGTAGAAAATTGGGTTTTGTTTCACTGAAAAAAAATCCTTCCAGTCACACAGATTAGCAAGTTATATTATATCAATATGATTCTGAACTTTGTTAATTTTCAGTATATTTTACATGACTCCATAACTATGTCTTTGACAACTGGTTCATAATAACAATCCATATAAACAGGAAGGTTCCCTTGCATATCATTTGTAGAATAAAAGCCAAGAGAGAAATTTAATATCTGGGGTAAATTTTCTTTGTATTTAAAGCTACAGAGTTTGATAAACTTTGTTGTTGTTGAGCAACTACAGTACTATTCAAGATGTCTTAAAGGTAACTTTACAAGAAGTGAATAATATGCCAATATTCACATAAGGTCAGATTACTTATCCTCTTCTAGAATTCATATAACAATACTTAGTGTAGGTAAAAAGATACCTAAAAAGTAACCTAGAGACTTGGTGCTTTTTATATTTTATAAATATACACTTCTACTTATTGTAAACACAACTGTTAAAGATAAAACTATGTTTCAATTTTAATAGTATGAAAACTTTGTCACAAATGCTTTAAAAATAAAATATTAATAGCATAACATAAATTGTATACACTTATTGAAAGTAGGGAACAAATATTCCTATCTGACGTACAACCATTATCAGCCAGGTTATGTTATACTAAATCTCAAATATGATGTTGAAATTTTACTTCACATTAGTATCATCTTGAAAATAAACTAAGTTTTACTAGCACATAGTCATATATCACTGATTATGGAATAAATCCTTAATTTTTATTACACCAATAATAAGTACAGAATATTCTGTTGCTCCCAAATGGCCAGTGTGTTAAAAGCCAGGTTTTTTTCTTACAATGCTCTGCCAAAATTAGAATGCATAGGTTTAGAATAGAGAGCAATGTATTACTGAATCTGCAATCAGTTTCCCAGTTCTTCCATTTGGAAAATTTATAATGACTTCTCCTTTGTCACCCCTATCTTCAATTGGTTTCTGGACCTTTTGAACGTATTCTTCCATAGTTCTGTGTAGATCTCTCCCTTATATTCCATTCCCACATTAATTCAAGTCCTTATTATGGTGACTGTAATAGTTTCATAGCTAGTTTCAGTACATCTCTCCCCACTCAATAAAAAGTCACCCCCTACTAGGTTAATTGTCCTAAATTGTAAATAAGATCATTATGTCTCAAAAAAATTTGAAGTCTTACATGGTCTAATAAATTTGCCAACACAGTCCTGGATTATGTCTGTTGTCCCACTATATTAACGATGCCTCCTTTCACTCTTAAATGCCTCAAAAGTGAGACAACATATTTTACAATGGGGTTTTAAATTTTTACTTTATGTGTATTTTTTACAAATTTTTGTTTACTTTTGTTTAGTGTTACACAGTCACATTTTTGGGTTCTTTGTTTACTTTTTAGTAATTTTTATTATTTCTGTTTTTTTATGTTTTATGTTTTGTTTACTCTCATTTTTATTTTTATTTTATTTTATTTTTGCCTTACGTTTAGTGCTACACAACTGCAGCATTGTTTTCCTCTCCAAAACTAATACATCTTAAAGGATCATAGTGAATGGAAAGGAACGCATCACCTTGTCCACCAAGTTGCCTTCAATCGATTCCTCAACTATCTTTCCCTTTCCCCAGATTGCTTCCAGTCCTAACTTTTCTCTCAGCCCCTTTAGGTTGAGAGCCCTGAGTCCCACCTTCATCTGGCAAGGCTTGTAGCCATTAGGCCAGATCAGACATGGGACAAAAAGAAGGATAGCTGCTGGGGACATCTGCTTGACCCATGATGAAGATCAAGATCTTAGTAGATCTTAGTATTAGCTGGTTCCGCCTTTCCTCGAGCCAAGCTACTTACACCCCAAATCAGAAAGGACTTCCTATGTAAAGCTTCAGCTTAAAAAACCATTTTCTTTTTCCTTTCTGTCTCACAACTGTGCCCAAACACAAATTTCTTTTCATTTAAGTTCACTGTTAATGTTACTTATCACCTACTCTTCACAAAAACTTTTCACATCATCTTATGCGTAGCTTTTATGGTTATTTTTCTTTTTGTGAAAACTTTTACTTGTATTTGTTTTACTAATACTGAGAATTGAACAAGCTTTCAAGGCTCTATTGTTATCCGCCCAACACGTTCTTTCTATAACATGTGATCAGTCTGAGATATGTATCTGTTCTTAGAACAGAGACTGTGAATACGAATGCACTTTTTATTCCTGTCTTCAGCAAGCGCAGTTCAGTGGGCCATTCTGAGTTTTTCAAAGCTGAAC